AGCTGACAGTGATGATGATGATAATGTCACAAAATTGTATTCTTACGAATCGAATGGACTCAGAGAGAGAGTGCCAATGAGACCTGGAGTTTTGTCATATCTGATTACATCCTACCCGCAGTTAGCTTTCCGTACCACCACCAGACCCAGACTGTGCCTCGTCCAATCAACTGCAGGCATGCTCATTCAAACCAGCGACAAGAAGCATGTCTTCGCAAGCACCGACGGTCTGAGCAAGCTGCTCTGGTAGCAGCATGATTCAAGGCGATTTACACATCGATTAACGGCGGTATCTCTGAGTCCACGCGTCTCTACGTCATTAACACAAAGCTGTAGCAAACTCTTGCACAGAATGGGTGAATCACTGAAAATCTTCAAGCTGAATTTGATAAACGACAGCAAGATAACCTGATTGGGGAACTAGTGTGCGCTGCGTGGTTATTGGAGAGTGGGACGTTCAGGCAATTACAGAGGCAGCGAATAACAACGTGCATATATCTGTCGGCACATCAACAGTTGCGAATGGCCGAAAATTTGCGCAGAGAAGGAACAGGCTAATTATATCCAAACGTCGAATGACAAAATAACGAATGTCTTACTGGCTGCGTTGATTTGGTGACCTGGTGTGCTGTCATCCCAATACAGAACATGTTTGATTTGAGGTTGCTTTGTACCGAATTATCGACTGCCAGACAATCGCCACCAAAACCAATAAACTCACGATGACTCGACAGTGCAACCTTTTAATATATCTCGATACTGGATCATGGCATAGGTTAGCTTACTCAGGGCATGGAAAGGAGTAGCGGGATAAAACACGGAATAACGTTCTCTTTTGCGCCCCCAACGTTGATAGGTGACACGTCTATGCTTATCAAAACCATCCTGCTTTTGGTGACCAATCACGAAGCATAAAAACAAGAACAGGGAAGAAATACACTCATTTGCAAATCAATTTGGTTTTCACGAGAGACTCAACTGAATCTCTCGTTTATGATATTCTACAACTGAACGTGCTGCACACAGGCCGCCTCGTGTCTCAAAGATTAAGTTGAGTTTCTTGTGAAAACGAAATTGATTTGCAAATGAGTGTATTTCTTCAAAACGGTCCAATTTGGTTTCAAGTAGAACTTAAGGTTGATGGAAACT